AGTTTGAGCAGGGTTGGGGCTAGGAGGCTTTTCACGGGCAGCCATCTGCCCCTGGCCTGACTGGCCATTCTGATCTCTTAAAAAAAATCATTGACCCCGTGTTTTCCTGTCTGGATCTGTGCCTGTCCCTCCCTGCACTTGCCAATGTGCCAGTGCCAGGTGCCATGCACAGCCCCCTGACTGCAAGGAGTCCTGGAGAAGCAGAAGCGAGGACCCCATCCCTGGATTTAGGGGACCCGGGGCTGAGGGCCCCAGCCCTGCAGAACCTCCCAGCCCTCTCTTGCTCTCCCTCTCCCTCCAGAAGGTTGGTTTCCTTGGGCATGGGGTGGGGGTGGGGTTTGCAGCCTGGAAGACCCAGGGTGGCTCCTAGAAACCAGTAGCCAGTAGCTCCCTGGGGCTGGGCACGATGAGGATCTTGTTGGCTTCCTGCAGATCCATCCGTGAGCAGAAATCCTGTGAGCCCCTCTTGTCTCCCCTGTCAGTTCTCTTTCTGCCGCCTTCCCACTCATGCATCCAGCGACCATTTATTATCATCCATGTGCTAAGGCTGGGGGCCAAGCATGACCCAGGCCCTGCCCTCAAGGAGCCCACATCCAGGGGAGCAGGGACCAGTGGGCAGGCAAACAGGACATGTGTGTGATACGACAAGGGTAGGGACAAGTGCAGCATGCAAGCTACAGAGGGTGCACCCTGGCCCAGGCTAGTGATCAGGGCAGGCTTCCAGGAGGAGGTGACATCTCAGCTGAAACCTCAGGGATAAACAGGAGGAAGCAAAGTGAGGGAGCAGAGGGGACAGGATGCCAGCTGGGAGAGGAGCTGAAATGTGGTAAAAGACAGGTTTCCAGGGGACGGGGGTGTCAGGGAAGAGCTATGAGAACAGAGTGAGTGTGACCACCCGTGTCAGGAGGGAGAGGCGACACGGGCAGCCTTCCCCGGAGCTCTCCAGCAGCTGCCTGCGCCCACACCAGCCTCTCAGGCAGGCCAGCCCTGGGCATAGGGATGGGCAGGGGTGGAGGGTTCCCAGAGTCTCTGCTGGCAGGAGGGAGAAGAAGGGGGGCTGGGCTGCCTGCTGCTTCCCACACCAGCCCAGCGACTGCTTTCTCTGCAGCACCCCGGATTCTCCGCGTGCCACCTGCCGGCTTGGCTGGCTTTAGAACAAGCACATGTGTCCTTTCATCTGTGAAGTGTGTCCCTGTGCTGGACAGCCGGCATCATGTTGGTCCCTTTGGCTACAGGTGGCTATGTTGTTACACCTATGACAGGACAGTCCCAGGCTGCACAAACCAGTCCCCTTTACAGACTGAGAAAGCAAGGGTGTCAGTCAAGAGAGCTGCATGGTCGCAGCTCACCCCCAGCCCTGCAAGCCCCGCCTCTCCTCCTGGCCCCCTGCGGTGAGCTCCCTGTCTACCTGGTGCCCACCTTTTCCATGGAGCTGTGGGGCTGGCCCCCCAGCCTCCATGGACCGCACAGGGATCAGCCTCGTTGCAGCTGCGGACCGAGTGGAGAAATCCATTTCCAACCTCCGTCTCCGCAGCAGGCAGCCTAGCCGGGCTCTGTGCGAGGGGGCTGGGCAGCAGGAACAGGCAGATGGCAAGCAGGCTTCCAGAAAGATTCCTTTCTAACAACCAGGGATGCCTCAGCCCATCACCTGCTGCAACCGGCACTGTTGACAACAAGTAGAAACTCCAAGGACCAACAGTAACAATAATCCAGAGGGATCGACCCACGCTAGAATGTTCCAAGGCATCTGGCACACACAACTGCTGGTGTCAAGCAAATACAGGCTGTCCCCCCAAAAATGTATACACACTTTTTCCCTGATAGCTCAATGGATGTTCCCTTCTTTTCAGATTTAATCCATTGGAGTTAACAATTATTCAATGTATACATTTCTTGGGACACCCTATATGCTACAGGGAGAAATGAGAAACGGGTGAATAGTCAGAGGCTCTACTAATCCCATGAGTGAGAGAGCCCTGGCTGAGCTGGGCCTGTTGGCCGTGGCTCCATAGATCAGACGAGCCGGTTGAAATACTTGCCTTTCTGTGCTGTGCCACCTGGACACTTAGGAGGGAGCCTTCCCGGGCTGTGGTGGAGAAAACTCTAGATATAGGGCCAGGACCCGTAAGTCCTCCATGGGCTCTGCTACTTCCTTTTCCTCCCCAGCCCTCAGTTTCCTCATCTGTAACATGGGCATGATGGTAACACCCCCCGCACCAGGCTGCCTCAGTGAAACAGTGGGTATGGAAGAGTTTGAGGAAAGAGCATTGAAATGACTGGTGTGTTTGTGAGGCGGCCATTCCAGTCCTCCTTGGGGCAGACTGTCCCTGGGACCCCATGCGGGCTGTGTCTGCACCAGCGTTGTCCCTGACCACCCCTCCTGCCACGCCAGGTCCGTCGGCCACCCCACTCTCGCGCCACTCAGCACTCACCACCCAGCTCAGTGTCCAGCCCTTGGCTCTGACTGCCCCGGCCGCTCTGAACCTGCTCCTCCCTCATCCATCCACACCCTGGCCGTGCTAATATTTGTGGAGAGGCCTCAAACCCTGGGAGTGAAGAAAACACAGCCCCTGCCCTGCAGGGTCAGGTAGGAGACCCCAGAAGGCCTGGGCCCTGGTCTGGTCAGACACGCAGGCCACAGGGCCTTAGGGCCTCAGCTTCCCATGAACAAGAGGAGACAATGGTCCCCATTTAACGCAGAGGCCCGCAGCCGGAAGCAGGCGCAGGCTGTCTGAGAAGGAGCCACCTTGACCACAGATTGCTACTGAAAGGGAGGCAGTGTTAGCTTAGGGTCTGTCTTTTTTCACCTCCTAAAACAGTTCAGAACGCAAGGTGGGTGGGGCTCTCGTTCCTCTGGCCCAACCTTCTGCCCGGGGTTCCGCTCCATCCAAACCTGAGGGCCACCTGGGCTGTCAGGGAACCGTGACCGACTGCCGGGGCCAGCCCCGCGGCCTCCCTCACTCTCCATCCCTGAGCTTCCGGCCCAATCCCCGGGTTTGTGGATTCGAAGTGTGAGATGGGTGCTGCCTGGAGGCTGGGGCTGATCTCCATGTAATTCACCTAAACTGGTCATTGGCACAAGGTTTTGCTTTAACAAGGCTTCCCCCTGGGCCCAGCTGATTTTTCCTTCTCTCTCCTCTCCCCACCCCACCCCACCGTGTTCCCACTACACCGAACGTCCTGCCATCCCCAACAGACATCTCCAGGCCTTGAGATGCCCTGTTTCCTCTGCCTGGTATGGCCCCCTGACCCTCCACCTTGAGGACTCCCATAAATTGTGTTCACCCTTCAAGGCCCAGCTCCCAGGTCACCTCCTCTGTGAAGCCTTCCCCTCCCTTGCAGTCCTGTGGCATGCTCCTGGCACAGACCAGCTAAGACACCTTGTGTTTGAGAAATGCCCGGCTCTGCGGGCTGCACTAACACCCCAGCACCTCTGGGACAGGTACCCGATCTTCCGGTCCTGATGAGCCCGCCCGGAGCCCTGGGCTGGGTTGTCGGAATGAACACCAACCGTCTTTGAGGCATCCACTCATTCGCGGGTTCCAATCCTGCTGTGGCTCTGGCACTCTTTGGCTCTGTTTCCCAACTGTGACCCCCTCCCCACTTTACCCAAGGGTCATCAGGGACTGGAAGAGGCCTCAAGAGCCAAGAATCAGAGCTCTGGCCCAGATTCCCCCCATCAACCTCCCAGCTCAGGGATCTTCTGGGCCCCAGAGGGAGGCGGACGTCATCCTCGAGCAAACAGGAGTCCCGCTCTGGCCCACGGGCGGAAGCAAAGGGGCCTCTGACTGTGCGCTCTCTGAGCACTGCTGTGTGCAGCACAGGGCACAGGGGGCGACCTCACAGGCAGCCCAGGGACTCACCCTCTGACAGGGCAGAGGAAACGGTGCAGGCCTAGCGGAGAAACATTTCTAGGCCCGGAAGGGCCAACGCGTGCTTAGGGGTAGAGCAGACATTGCAAGGCGTTCAGAGGATGGCAGCTCACTTCCTGCTACGGACACCAGGAAGGCTTCATTGAAGGGGCCAAGGAAGAGGAGGGAAGGAGGGTGCACTTACGCTGGGTCGTGAATAACTGCTTGGACTCGCGGAGATGCAGAAGGAGGGGTGAGGAAGGTTGTCGTGGGAGGTGAAGCCATCTGGATAAGGGACTGACAGGACCAGAGGCCAGAGGATGAAAATCTCAGATCAGCATGAGGACTGGGAAGCCACTAGGTTTGTCTGGAGTAGAGGCTGCAGGATGTGGGTGGAGAGGAGACAAGCTAGGAAAGGAGCCTGGGGGCAGGGAGATGACTGTGCTGGGAAGGGGTTGGGGGACAAGATTCTCCTAACTCTTGGCCGCAAGAACCATCTCAGAATCCAAATTAGATTTATTTTCCCCATTATAATATGGGGGAGCTCTCCTTCTTGGTGCTAATGTGACCTCTATCGGAAGGCAGCTCTGCATCCCTGGCGGAGGAGGCAGAGGGGTTCAGCACCCCCCTCCGCCACCCAGAGCTGAGATCCCCTGGGACGCCCGGGCCACCTGGGAAGACGTGGGAGGGTGCGGCCCTCACTGAAGGCTGCAGAGAGAGGGGCGCTTTGGGCAGCCTCTGCCGGCTGTGGACACAGCTCCGTGCATTTGCTGTGTCTCTGAGGGTTGTGCTCCACATCCTCCACCCTTCCCAGCTCACTAGCCCCTCACCACAGGGTCTGGGGGGCGGAGGGTGGAGGGGTGGGGGAGATGGACCTTCTCTGCCCGAAGCCCCCGTGGTGATTGTCCCTCCTCCTGCCCAGAGCAAGCTGATGCGACCTGGGAAAGCAGCAGAGCAGCTGAACATTCTCCAGGCTTCTGCTTTGAGGAGACAGTGCTGTTTTGAT